AGGTTACTCCCCACACGGAGCATACTATCCGCACACATTCTCTTGAGCCTCTGAATTCCTTTCCCCACATAAGTTTAATTAAAAAGAAACGATAGCAACAAGCGTTGTTGACCAAATCTGAACCAAAAATGTTCCATATCGCTCAATAGAAACTATATTGCATCAAAAGCGGAGCTGCAGATTTAATATAATAATCCTGTAGTGAAAATACCCCCCCCCCTCTCCGTACTTCTCCCGCATCTGGCGAAACGAGGACTCAAGAAAACGTGCGCACAGAACTCACAGCTAAGCCCTGAAGCAGTGCGCTCATCCAAAACATGAAATCGCGAGGATTTCCACATTGTTATACTACATCACTAAAAACACACTTCCACTCTAAATTCCTCTAATTCACAAAATTGGAGAGCTAAAATACTTTGCTTATTGTACTTGTTATCTTGGTCGAAAGGAATTAAATCTCGTGTTTTACCATAATTTCAAAACACAAAAACACGCAGAATACCAAACTATTTTACGAGAGGCATTTGCATGACGATTTGTTCACATTGTTTCGCATGCGTATCATGAACACACAACGGTACAAGTACTCGAGCGGACATTCTATGCAACCATTTTTTCCCTATGATGTTTAATTTCTTTGAAAATTTTGGTACAGCACTAAATTCAATCAGAGAGTTTTGTTCTCTCTGAAAGGTTTCACGTACGTGGATTGCGATTTCTATAACTTCAATTAAATAACTGAAATCAATCTTTCATTATTGGCGCGATAATTTGTTTCCTGGGTGCAACGTTGAAATTAAATGAAAATTAAAGTTTTTCAATATCACCAATTGGATACCAAAAACAAATGTAATAAAAACAAACATCAAAATAATATCCCATTCGGGAATTGATCTATCGGAGATTACAGAAAAAGAGTTCGTAACCACTGCATATTCATCATATCAGGTTTTTTCCGTATCGGAATAACAGCGGTGAAACGTACAAGGCAAGAGTATGCCTCCGACGCGTCCATTCATAACCTACTTTGCGAGCGAGCTATGTTGTGAATGTGCTAGTGAGTTACTTTAATTCACCTTTTCCTTGAACGTTTGCGTAAAACTCCTATGCTTATCGGTGACTCACAACTCTGTCACTAATATGACTTCATTCAGAAATTCATTAATAGTAAAGTGTCCGTTTTTCCTGTATATGTTTTTCAGATTCCCGTCCATCTCTTTTATCCTGCTACTTTGTAACGAAGTCAAGAAAATACTATCGTTAAATGATCGCGCCTGTCTCAATCACCAACATGGCAACGCGTAAGGTATTTGCTCCCATTCACACTAACCACTCACGTAGCACGATAGGCCACTCCACGATCTGTTTGGCGGAATCCGAAATAATACTTTCGCAATCACGAGAAAAGCCTAGCAATTACACTCAATCATTCAGCATGTATCACTACATCAGTGTTTTACGAATGGTGAAGTGAGCGAGACAGGAAATCGTCAGAAAGAAAACTATGAAAATTGTAACGTGATGTAATGAAGTCTTGTAAATACCGTCATATCAATCAGCGTTTACACATCTGAGCTAAAACGTTTGAAAATGAAATGATAAATGGTTAAAAATTAAATCACAAAAACTATTGTAACCACTTCAGTCGACATAAATCTTCGACATAAAAAAAATTAACGAAAACCGAATTCGAAGTTTCATTTTGTGTTCGACAACCTCCGCAACGAACTAATTCTATATATTAAAAATGGTTGAATTCACTTATTTGCAAAATTACGTTATCATGCAGAGATGGCACGACACTCGAATTACGATCGAATAGTAACAATCACACACTTAATCCTAGCATCTAACAAATCACTCGCGGACGTAATCACGAAACATACGAAGGTAAGGGATGCGCATTTTCCACATTTGAAGAGCCATGGAATGCAAGACTTCCACGCAAAACACATCACTATCCTCACCACAGCGTATGTCACAACGCGCACACCTCATTCGCATCACGACCACAGCGAAACTACACACCACAACAACCTTAGCGACGCGATACTGTTATCGCTCTTAAAAAGCAGGGGCTTTGTAGCACACACAACACATCGCGGGGCGTCCACAACGAACCTGATTTAGTCTTGTGGCTCTCCCTGCCACTTGCAAGCATAATCCCTTGGCGGGCACCGGGCCGAGGCAGTCTGTCGCATCGCTAAGCCTGCGCACATGCTAGCAGCGGGCGTCGAGGCCGGGGGCGCCCTGGCTACCGCGCGGCGACGGGCGCGCGCCGCATTTCCTCGCAGAAAGCCGTCGCTCGTGGGCGCATCGGCCAATGTTTGCGGCTCGGGTAGTAGCGTGGATCGCCCACACGGCCCGCGGGCGGGCTCAGGCGCTGTGCGGCGCGGCGGCGGCGGCTGCGGCGGCGGCGACGGCAATAGCAGCAGCAGCAGCGAAGACGTGGCCGGCGGCGGCGGAGGCGGCGGGCCGCGGCGGCGAGCGGGCGAGCGAGGCGGCGGCGGTGGCGAATGGGGGTCCGCGACTCCTGGGTTCGGCTCTCGCTAACACGTGCGCTCCGCCATTGCATGAATGGCGCAGGAGAAAGTCATTCACGGACAGCCTCAGCGACCGTGGCGGCGGTGGGGACGGCAACAGCAGCAGCGACGGCAACGGCGGCACGGCGCGGCCATGTCGACAGCCTGGCCAACACAACGGAACTAGCACACGCGCGCACCGAACGACCGATAGACGCTTCCACGCACGATCACGCGTCCACACGCACACGTCGGCTTGAGGTAGAGGCGGAGGGCGTCTGGCTGCGCGGGCGGAGTAGCGGCGAGGGCGGGAGCAGCGGGCCTCTCGGGCGCATGTCGTAGCGCAGGTCCTCCGGCAGACAGGCAGCTCGCACGACTGAGGCAACGGAGCGGCCGCGCCGACCGCCGCCGCGCCGGAGCGGACGCGCTGCCATCTAGCGGCCGCCGCGCCCAAACTACGTTTTTATGAATGGGAGACTTCTTTCAAGGCAGCCATCATTGACTTGTAGTGAATGAAACGGCTGTGCTCCGGCCGTTCCAAAAACATGCGCCTACTCTAATCAATTTACTGTCTTCTATACGATTAAATCTCTAAAATCCAAGCATACAAACAGCTATGAATAAGCAAGATCCGAGGAATTTTTTTTCGCGTGCGCCATTGTGCGGGTGAGGCCGCAGGAGTCGGTCGCACGGGAGGACTCGCACAGCACGCGCGAGGGTGGGGGGCAGTGCC